CTTCGAACTTCTGTAGCTAACGCAAATTTTGCAAACCAGCATGCGTCCTCAGATTCATTGTCACTGCCAGTAGTTAAAGTAGAAAAGCAAGTTACCGGCGCACCACCACCACTGCCCGTTGTCGGTGTTCCTGCTAACGTGGGAGGTGAAAAGGGAGCATCACCTTCTGAGCCGAAAGGTAATTACTTGTCTTCTATGACCGTAGGAGTAATCATGGATTCTTTCTTCAGAATGCCAGCATGCATTTATTCAGCATCAACTTTTTGTTATGTCCAGTATAATGAGATTTGGGGTCGTAGATAAAAGATCAAAGAAGGGCTTGCCCCTTCCGATTTTCATTACTGAAAACCAACCTTACAGAATTCAAAAGACAAACAGCACAAAACAGGTTCGAACTAATAGCATGACAATTAAAACCGACCAAAAGGGCCAACACAGGCCACAGCCAACCAACAACCTGAGACTCACCTAGGCCCAGCACGAACAAGGTCCACCATACACCTAACAGAGTCATCGACATAATACCTAGTAACTACCAGACAACAAAAGACTAAGAACAGCAGCAGGAAGATGAAGATGTCGTAGCCGTTTATCCAGGGAGCCTCGCCACATTGATCCGCCACCCCTGCCCAGCTGTGTACACCTCATTTGCTGCCCGTTCTAGTACTCTTGCCCCCAGTTCCAGCATTTTTCTTGGTGGCTCCTTTGTCTGCAAAATGGACCAATCAACCAACCATCGAACCATTAGTTTGATTATCTGAAAAGGATCATTAATCCTTTTTCTCTCAAAAACAATTGCATTTCTACTTTTCCAGATTGCCCAGAATAAAGCAGAAACCCCAATCATCACCATTTTCTTGTCTTCTTTATTGAATCTGCTAATCCATCCCCCAAAACAATCTTTAACATTTAAAGGAATGGTCTTCAGACCACAAACGCATCTGACCAAGCTCCAAAGCAAAGAAGCCGCCGAGCATGTGAACAATAGATGATCAATTGATTCATCTTGTGTGACACCCAAAAAATTTTAACCTTGTTTTGTTAATTAAAATTTTACTAGGAAATTAAAACTTTTATTTTCTGGGCTCACTTTTGATTTTTTTGAAACATTTCCTTTCTTATTATCATGGAGTTTTTACCTCAAGTGAAAAACTTCCCAATTTTATTGGACTCTCTTACCCTCTCAAATAAAACTTTTCTTTTATCAGAGGAGTTAATTATAAAATTATTTCCCTGATCTTTATTCCTTTAAAAATGGTTTTTTCATGGTTTGTGGTCCTATTTGCACTGCAACCCTTTTATAAATTCATTCAAAAATCCCACCAAAATTTGGAGATGTCATGTGATGTTTTTAAAACATTTTTATGCAAAAATATATT